AAGTGTGTGGTAATTTTCTTTTGTAGCTCTAGGAAATGAAAAATTAAAATGAAAAATTAAAGAGGAACGAATGGCCTACTAAGAAATGGAAAGACAAGTACCTTGAAAATTGCACTTAAATTGATTCAATGATAAATGTTGAAGTTTATCACTTAAAAATTTAATAAAACCTTTCCATCAACACAGGGTTTTGGCTCAGAGAATTAATGTATGTTAGATAGTTACTGCTACTAGGAGGGTACCACAGATCCAATGTCCAGATCACCAGCTGCTGGCCTGATAAAGATGATACATAAGTTTCTAAACAATAATTTAAAAACACTGAACTTCTACCTGTTTCGTCCAATGTTTCTGGGGAAATTTAAATGTCATCTTTGTTGTCAAAGGGAAGATTTTTTTTTAGCAGTATCCTGAGTTGTTGCGTTGCACAGTTCCAGTGATCGGTAATTCTCTTTTGCTTGGAGTCATAAACTGTGCAAAACAGGCCTTTTGTAGGTTACTGTCCATTGAGGTGAAAACACTTAACAGGGTAATTCTCTTTAACTTTAAATGAAAAACTTCGTCAGCTGCGCATTTCAAGTGCATTTTGTCACAGGCATATTTAATCATTTATTTCAGGGCTTAATCATTTAAAGCTTCAAAATTGATTGAAAATAGAGGTCAGGGTAGAGGGAAGATACAATCTTACCTGTGGAATACTAATACATTTGATTGAATGCATGAAGAATTGCACTTACTCTGAGATGCACTTAGAGGAAGATTATGTTGTGTTCCTGGGCTGACGTGTGCTTCAAATTCAGTACATTCACGTTAGAATTGTATCATCATCATCATTATCATCATCATCATTCACCAAGAAAGAGCACACACGTCTTCTGTGGATGTACTTAGGGAAGGTGCAGGACGGAGTTAAGAATCACCATGAATTTAAGGAAAGGTGAAACTGGGGCTGGTGACAAGATTCCTGAGCCAGGTTTGCTGACTTTAAAGCACCGTACAAAAGCAAGACTGCTTGCTTCACTGCCATTGGCTTACTTCTCAGAGCCTGTCGGGGCTCAATATAGCAGATGTGCAGCTATTTCTTATACCCCTTAAGAAGCTTCCCCTGTGTAGATTTGCTCAGCAATCCTCTTAAAGTGTACAAGTTCCCAGAAATGACATTTGTTTATAAATTCCATTCTCTGCCAATTTCCATGCATAAAGAGTGAACTCTGAGTCAAGTTCATAAACTAAAAATTATAAGACAATTTAAATGTAGGTACAACGTCAACAGTCATGCATTACTTTAGTTATTGTTTGGCTGCAAACCGTTGTTGATCATTTAAACAATTCCTCTCAAGTTTGCAAACTATGGCAACAATTGAGCTTGCAATAGTGACAGATATTATAGTGATGATGGTCTAAATTTAATGATATCCTTAGGACTTTACTACTTCTTCAATTATAAATTTAAGGGCAGAAATTTTCCTTCACAAATTATTTTGCCCATGAGTTGATCCACTATACTTGTTTCCTTCACATCTCTTTTCTTCTCTCCCATCCGCCATTATGTCTGGTCTATGGTGTTTAATAAAGCAGATGTAAGGGCGTGGGTAGAGCTCAGTGGTACAAGTGCCTGCCTGGTAAGAGCAAGGTCCTGAGTTTGATTCCCCATACCAAAATGTTAAAAAAAAACAAATTACATAAAACACATTGAATGTGAACCCAGGTTACAAGGACAAAAATCACAAGTTCATATATCAAATGGAATGATTATCCTATACTATAAAAATCTTTCTTTTGTCAGTCTCCTTCTCTGAGAGTGGAAATAACACTGATTTTGATCATTTGTGATGATAATTTGAAATAGCGTGCAGTTTAGTGTGCTCCCTGACATGTAAATGCCATGGATGTGATGCATAGAGCTGTTATTAACTATAATTTGGTATAAATTTTACATACTGTACTTTTCAATTTTTCTATTTAAAACTTTTCTCACATTTTCACACATTTTAGTATTCCAATAAACATGCTTAACCTGTGCTTATTTTTTTAGTATTTTTTCTATAATCATTACCAGCTACATTTGATTAAACAAATATGTTTTGCTATGCTTGCTTTATATATTTTAGCTGATGAACAATGATTTTGTAGATTTATTTGGTACAATGTGGCATTTTATATAAGACACAGAAACACGTGACAACAATACTTCCTAAGAGTTTAGGTTCGCACTAGTGCAAACATCTATGCAGAACGGCAGTCGAATGATATATGATAACAAAGTTGCATTTTAAAGAATCAATCTATGGCAGTATTACAAAATATAGAGCATCTAGTCACTTAGATTTTAGAAAACAATTTTATTATGTGGGCTGCCAAATTGAGCACGTAAGTAATTATAATGGAAAAATAAATATCACAACTCTATTCTCAATTATGATAATATCTCCTTTAGTGGTTATATAAAGAAAATATACTATTATTAAAAGTTACCATAAATTTACTAATCCTTTTAATATAATTCATTATTTCAAGACTTAGTAGTATATAAATACTTATAATAATATTTCTTTTTATTTTAAAGAGAATAAAATATTAAAAATGATACAGAATTTCAAAATAAGATCATAGGAAATCACCAATGATTGTTATATGGTATATTTTTTATCTTCAAAGTAGTTGTTCAGTTTACCAGATATAAACATGCAAAATTAGTCAAAAAAGCTAAGCATTAACTGTTCCTTTCAATAAACCAATAGAAATTAGTAGTAGCACAATTATCTTAGCTATCTTGTGTGTGTGTATATATATATATACTTTTTTCCCTTTCTTCTTTCTTTCTTTTATGTGTCTCAAATATATATTCAGGGTAAGTAATGTTTTCAGCAACAGCTAGTAGTTTCAAATCACTAATTTTCCAATTGGGAATACTCTGTCCAAAGATATAGTGGACTCTCTTCACTGTGATATCTTCTTAGTCTGTTTTTCTAAAATGTAACTAATGTTTAACCAAAAATAACTAAAACAAAAGCAAAGGGAAAGGAATGCAAACATAAAAGAAAAGATAAGCAGTAGCATTCAAAAATTGGCCTCACATTTAAATAATCCCTTCAGGCATCAAAAAGTATTTTTCTTTTATTTTGCATTTTAAAAGCTTTTGTCTCTCTTAACAGAAATCTTAAACTTTTACTCCCTAAATCAATTGAGACAGGCAGCCACTAAAAAGAGTGAAAGATTTACATCAGTGTGGTCACTGGGAAATATATATGTCTGTTATGAGAGAGACAGACACAGTGATAGAGACAGAGAGAAGTGAGAAAGGCGGAGTCCTTTAGCAGTAAGGAAAATAATTTTACGAATATTGTTATATCAAGTGTAAGACTCTCAGCATCATAAGAACTTCATATTGATGACATACCTGTCTTATATTGCCAATACCTTTTACGGACACTCCTGAATGATGCTATTTATCTAGAAATCATACAGGTAAGCTTTAAATTCATGTCATTTTAACATCTGTTTGGTATGGTGATGTAATATGAGACAAACAAAACTTTAAGGAATATAGTAAGAGTTAGAGAAAAGTTTCATAGTTATAAAAGTTTCAACCCAAAAGGGAGACATAAAAACACTCATTAATATATTTCTAACAAAAAGTTTATTTCTATATATATATATACACAAATTGTATATGTATGTAATTGTAATATATATGTAATTGTAAGTATATACAAATTGTATATATAATTGTGTATATAATTGTATATATATACAATTAGTGTATATATATTGTATATATATTGTTTATATATAATTATAATATATATGTAATTATATATATATACAAATTGTATATATAATTCTGTATATAATTGTATATATATACAATTTGTGTATATACTGAAGCCCCACAGACTGTGAGCCAAAATAAACTTTTCCTCTATTTAAGTTGCTTTCCACAGGTATTTTGTTATACTGTCAGGAAGCTGACTAACATATGCCACTGGTATTGTGAAGGAGAGTTGTTACCATAACGATATTTGGGATGATGTAGAGAAGTCTTTGAAGTTAGACTGTGAGTTTGGAAGAGCGCAGAGAAGCTGAAGAATGCTGCTCATGATATAACCAGAGTTTACCGGACAATTCCTGTGAGGACTCAGAAGACCAGTGTGATAGAAATGTGGACAGAAACCTGCAAGATGCCACTCACTGTAGGCTCAAAGACATATAGGTATAAACTCATTTCAAGGACTTTTTCTATTCAGGAGACCCTTAGGACTTATTTTCCATACTTAGATGTTGAGAGACTCAGTTCAAGATACAGTTAAAATAGTTCAAGCTGTAGCTATAGTTAAAATAGGTCCAGATGTCACTTATACCAACCACAGCTGTTGCCCGCACGATGATGGTACATGAAAGCGTGCATAATGCAAGAGTTATGGGGCCTTAGAGGCATCCACTGCGGTTTCACAAGGATGGCTGTGAGTCCATGCTTCTGTGGCAAAATTAAGTTTTCCAGTATCTGGCTCATGACAGGGCAATGTGTGCGGCTGTGACAGTGAATCTGTGACAGTGAAGGTGGAATGGAAACTATTCAAAAAGCGGATTCCAGGAAGAAGGAATACCCCATGAGAGAAGCCACAAGTCATGAGCAGTGGGAGCCCAAAGAACGGCCATGTCAGGGGTAAAACATAGGGGCAGGATTGCTGAAGCCTTTAGAAGCTAATATCCTATCACCTTGTACATTAATGTTTAGACATGGAGAATAGGCTCTAATATTTGTCCTACTGGGTTTTGGTTTTGCTTTGATCCAATCGTTCTGTGCTATTTTCTAATTTTTTTTTGTTCAATTGGTAATGTTTACCCTGTGAGCTTGTACCTTGGAAATTAGTAATCTGTCCTTTTGAATTTTAATGTTTCACAATTAAGTCTGACTTGTGTCTCAGTGCAGAGTTTGGACTTTGGCTGAGTCACCATGGGACAGTTAAGCCTTCAGAAACTCTTGGAAATGGACTGAATGCATTTTACCTGATGAGACAGACACAAGTCAAGGGGAAAAATACTTGGATCTGGATCTTTAATATCCCCACGGTCCCATGTGTTAGAGTCCTAGTGCCCAATGCAGTGCTCCTGGGAGGGAAGTCAAACTTTAATGAAAAGGGCAAGGTGGAGGTAAACCCTTGGAAGAAATTTTGATTTCTTCTTCACCCTCATTCATTTTCTGCCTTGCATAAGGTGGAGCATCTTCCTCTACCATCTGAAAACACCGTAAGGTGCTGCATCACCACAGGCCCAATAGCAACAGGGCCGACTGAATATGCACCACAACCTTCAAAACTGTGAGTCAAAGTTAACCTTTCTTCTTTATAAAACTGATTGCCTCCAGTATTTTGTTAGAGTAATGGAAAGTTGACTGACATAAACCTCAGACTTAGATTTATCGTTTCTTTACACATTCAGTGAAAAATCTCCACTTTTATCAAATCAAACCTTTACACTGTTATAAAAAGATTCTGCAGTCTGTATATACAGCCTAGATATGAGAATTTAGTAAAATTTCACAAATTTTAGATGCATATATTTATGTTTAAAACTTTTGTCAGTATATAGTGTTGCCAGAAGAATACAATCCTCTGCAATTTGACTTATTTATATTATATTTTTGTATATGCTAAAATTTTTAGCTACCAAAGCATAGAAGAATAATCTTTGTTTATTTTTTACTGTTCAATATGAATGTGTTCTTGTAGATTCTTTATATTTTATTCCATGTTTTATTTGATAAAACTGTATTTTAAAAAATCATTTTTTATTGACATACATATGTCTTCTAAATTGTCTACAGCCTAATCATAAGACAGGAAAGTAATAACACATGGATGAATAGCAGGGCTGTTACAACATTTCAGTATCACAAAGAAAAGATAAACTACAGCAAATAACTAAAAACTAGAGAAAAAGATTGATTCTTTATATAAAATGGCCCTAGTTTAGTATTAAAATGTTACCTAAAATGTAAAAAATCTGCATAGAAATTTGAGTTTTCTCTTGCACTTCTACTCCACAATCTACTTCTTTTTAACTTCCTCATTTTAAAAATGAAACTCATTTTCACATATCATTCAAGCATAAACACTCTAAAACAATTTCAAATATTTTAAATTATATAATGTGTTAAATTGCTCAGGATCCCTTGTTTACTCCACCTTTAAAATATTTCCTAAACCTGCTCATTTCTTATTATATCCAATACTTCTGCTCTTTTCCAAAGCATGCCTGTCTTTCCTAGATTACACAATATCTTTGCAACAACTCTTACTATTTCAAATCTTTTCTACTCACAGATGGATTTCCACACAGCAGCCAGAAGTATTATTTATAAATGCACATCATATCATAACCCTCCTCAGTGCTTTGTTTTCTTATCCACTCAGAGTAAAAGCCAAATTTGATTTCACCTAAAAGACTCTACAAGACCCCGCTCATTCTGTGCAGAACCCTGCCCTCTTGTCTGCTTTTGGTCTATTGCATGCATTTATTCATACTAATTTCTGCTGATCTGCACAACCCGAGTATGACTTCAGATTTTTGCACTTTATTTATTTTTTTCTCTTGAAAGCTTTTCACCTAGTTTGCTATGAAGCCCGTCTGATTACTGTGTTTGGAATTCTGTTCAAATATTTTCTTGATAATTTCAGGTTAACTTTTCTTCCATTACCCTGCCTTATAACTGATAAGTAGTTAATGAATATTATATATCTTCTGTGTTTGCTTATGTGTTTATTATTTGCTCCTTTGACTAGGACAAATTCCATGAGAGATTGTGAGTAGCTAGTCCTTCTTTGTATCCTGAAAGCAGTGCAGTGCACACAGAAATTACTCATTAATTTTTTTGTTGAAAACTACACTAATGAATAAATTGCAGTAGATATTTCCTTTCTAATGCATCACCAAACTTTCAGGCCTATAACATTTAATTTCAGTATAACATAGCAAAATTTATTTGGATGACAATAAATGATTTTATTAAAGTTGCATGTCTTATCTTTATTTCAGGCACTGAGCTAACATTAAAAGTGTTTTAGAAAAACATATTTTGTAACCTATTTCAGTGGAATACCAATCAGTAAGAGAACTATTAATTTTTAGTTAGCTTGGAGAACAGATAACACAAGCCAAGAAATAACAGTGCTAGGTATAATTCCAATAATTTATCAAATGTCTGTAAAATCCTAAAATAAAAATATGACAGATTCTGCCACAAATATCCAGTAATGTTAATTTAAACTGACAAAATTCAGTATTTTGTCAGAGATTTTGATTAGATGCATTTAAGTGTTCTTTAATAAGCAGACTGAGATTTACTTCCAAGCAGCCTGAAATTTAAAAAGACAATCCAACATATTCAATCAGTTTTTCTTAAAGTGATGGGGTAACTTCATCCACCACAGATGTATTAGCCTTCCCATTGCTGATACATACTACCTGGCAGCCACAATTTAAATGAAGAAAGGTTTAATGAAGTTTATGTTTTTCAGGAAATTCAGTATATGGTCAACAGGCTCAAAGCAGAAACTTCGTAGTTTAAGGGTGTGGTAGAGCAAAGCTACTTAGTTCATGGCAGAAAAAAGGATAGAGAAACAGTTTGGGAGAGAAATGGGCTACAGAACACATGTAGTACCTAAAGTCCTATATTAATCTACTAGTTCTTTTTTAATACAATAAGGCTGATGAATCAGGATTGACTTTCACAGGGTTTGTTCACCAATGTCTGGAAGGATTTTAGTTGTTCCATTGCAAGGTAACAAGGAGAGGCACCACTGAGATCTAATGGCTAGGAGCCTTGGAGGCTGTTAACCATCCTGTTATGTATGGTATAACCTCCTGAGATGAATGAAACCACCTCATTCCCTTTTTCAATGGAAAAAAAATGGTTGCAAAACTGTGTTATTCTTAGGTAGGATCATCATTTTGAGTTTTTCTTTAGATTAGAAGAAAAGAATTTTAAACTCCTTGAGTTTTCCGATATATGTCTGTGATCTCTAACCAGAAACTTCTCTCTTATACCTTTATTCCCTAACTCAATCTTCAGAGCACCTGCTCCTTCACCTTGCTTTTGGTCGCTCTTCTGGAAAACATGGCAACTGACAGATCAGTTATTTAGTTCTGGAGACTCTGGAAGCCCAGACTGAGCGTTTTTACTTCTATAATGTTAAGTGATCACTTCATTGCTTCTGTGGTCAATTTTTGACAGATATGTTCTTTGTCCTTTTCTGAAAAAAAAAATAGGTTTTAAAACTGATTATGTAAACTAAAATTAGGAAAACAAGTCAGGTTTATGCAGAATTTTATAGTTATAATTGTTCATAAAATGACAACTACATGTTCAATAAGTTTTATATTACTGATATTGAAAAATAGCATTCTTCTTGAGAAATGTACTTTTTTCTCAGATTTAGCATTATCAGTGAATTTTTTTCCTTTAGTGTGATGTTGATAGAGAAAACATTTTTTTCAGGTTGAATTTGTTCTATCTTTTTCTATCACTTTAATGATACCTTGGGTATACTTTTGAATTGAGAATAAAATGTCTTCTAGATGATGGCCACTATTTCTTGGGTAAGATAAAATCTTGATGTTGTTTTAATTTGCATTTCTCTAGTGGCCAGTGATGTTGAGCACTTCTTCACATATTTATTGGCCATTTGTATGTCTTCTGTGAAGTGTCTATTTATTACATATAAGCATTTTTTAATTTGGGACTTTAATTTTTCTGAGTTCTTTATATAGTCTATACATCAGTCCTCCTTGGGAGAAATCACTGGCAAAATTTTGTATTCTATACAATTGTCTTTTTGCTCTGTTCATTGTTTCTTTTCTGTGCAAAAGCCTTTTAATTTAATATAGTCCCGTTTATTGATTCTCAGAACTATTTTCTCTGCAACTGAGGTTCTGTTCAGAAAGTTTTGCCTAAATTTAATGTTCAAGAGTTTTGCCTACTTGTCTTCCAGAAGGTGAAATATTTCTTTTTTAACATTTATTTATTTGACCTTTTTTTTTGACACTGGGAATCGAACTCAAGACCTTGCACTTGTCAGAAAGGCACTTGTGATGCTGAACTATATCCCCAGCCCTTGTTTGATCCATTTTGATTTTAGTTTAGTACATGGTAAGAGCTGTGAGTCTAGATTTAATCTTCTGCATGTGAATAGCCTGTTCTCTCATCACCATTTATTAAAGAGGCATCTTTCTCCCCTTGTGTGCTATTAGTGTCTATATCAAAGATCATAGAGTTGAATATACTTGGAGTTATTTCTAGATCTTTTGTTCTGCTCCACTGAGCTTCATGTCTGCCTTGGGACAATACCATGCTGTTTTCACCACAGTAACTTTGTAATATAACTTCAGTCTGGGATTGTGGTACCTCTCGGTTTGCTATTTTTCCCAGCGTTGCTTTTCCTATTCTGGGTGTTCTCTGGGTCCATGTGAGTTTTAAGAATGTTTCCTCCAGTTATGTGAAGAATGTTGTTGGCATTTTGATTGGGATTGCATTAAAACTTTATACAAGTTTTGGAAGTATGGCTGTTGTGTCTGTATTGGTTCTACCTAATCAGGAACAGGGGATATCTTTCCACTTTCCAGGGTTCTGTTAGATTTGCTTTTCCTGAGTACTGTATGCTGGGGAGGCTATGGGGAAAAGGTATTATTTTCCACTGTCGGTGGGAAAGCAAACTGGTACAACAGAACTCAGTATGGAAATTCTTCAAACACTAAAACCAAAAATCCCACTTGACTCAGCTGTTCTCCTTCTAGATATCTTTCTGAAAGAGTTAAAGTCATCATACCACAGTGATATGTGCTTACCCATGTGTACAGGAGCACAGTTTATAGTAGCTATATCTTGGAAACAGCCCATGTGCCTTTCCACAGATGAATGGATAAAGAAAATGTAGTGTTTAATGGAGGATAACATTGAGTCATTCACAGGAAAATAGATGAACCTTCAGACCATAATGTTAAGTGAAATAAATCAGACACTCAATCTTAAAAATTGTGTTGCTCTCTTATATGAGAAACCCAGAATAAAAACAAGGAGCAAGAGAATAGGAACTTGGAGGTAGACCATTCTCAGCAGGAAAGGGGATAGAGAGGTGGAGGGAGGGAGGAAAGGAAGGGGTAAAGGGTGAAAACATAGAATTGGATGTGCTCTGCACATGTACCAACACCACACAAGGAGCACAGACATTCTGTACTGCAAACTTGTACGAGAAAAGAAAAGTGGCTCAAGCAATGAGTAGAGGGGACAGGGAAAGCAAAGGCCTGGGAATGTAAATAGGAA